CAGTCTGCAGGATAAAAACGACAGGATGCTTTGGGAAGAATTAAATAGGAAGCTTAAACTTTCCAAAATTAAGCACTTAACGGTAACACAGCTTACACAAGAGAGAAACATCAAACACGATCATCATCTAAGACTTCGTATAACATTCACTAACACTGTTGAAGTAGAGGATGTTCTAATGATCGATCACTTGCTGAATTTAGAAGGAGATATTAGTATACTGCCTGAAATACCATATTTTAGGTGTAATCTCAGGAACATCCCTAAAGAATCTCACGAGTTCTTTCGCAGAAGAAACATTATTGTGCGAGGTGTCCCATAAAACACGGACACTGGTATTCTAAAATAGAAGTTTATAAAGTAAACCTTGGAGCTTAAGAACGTATTAAATAAACAAATGGTATGTTTATCAAAGAAGGGAAGGAATTCTAGACCCCGGCTAATAGAGATAATCTCCTCATCTTCCCAAATGACGGCTGTCACTCCCTAAGCATTTCGTGCCAGAAGACGCTTTACCAACTGGAACCCACATGCATCTAAACAGGCCCCATGATGCAAGCATTAAGCACAAAAGCACGTTTGAACTGACTATTCCACATGTGGGCTGTCAAGAACGTAGAAAAATATAGAAGGTACAGGGACTATTATCCTGTATAGGTGGGATGCCTATCTATTCACATATGGCTTATTCAGACAGACAGAACGAGGAAGCTCACGAGTTTCAAATCAAAAACATAATCTGCTACATATGAACGCTGCGAGTATACCGAACAAAATGAACGAGTTCCGTGAACTAATTAACATTAGTAATACGCATCTAACGGGAATATCTGAGATATGATCATCCTCTTGAACTAAAGACCAGGAGATGGCAATACCCGGTATGTCTTTGTTAAGCGAAGACCGAAAAACAGGAATGATGGGCGGAGCCACCCTGTACCTACGATCGTGCTCGGTAGCACATCAAGTGTGTATTCAATAGTTTATCAAATTTGATAAATCTGTATGGTGCTTAGCGAGATTGGCTAACACCTCGAGATGTCCAGTTGGAGTCATTAACAGGAAGTCTACTGCTGACACCGAGTACGACAATCGTATGCTGGGGGGATTATCCCTCTCTATTCGCCTAGGGATACACATATCCTAGTTCTAGGAGACTTCAATCTTGCTAAAGTTAATTTGTTGAACATATGTACATTGGAGGTGACAACTCTACTGAAACTCGGTTCTTTAACTTCATTTAAGATTTTGGACTAATCGAAAATGTGAAGTCGGTAACACGGTGAAGAAACAGTAAGACACAGTCACGCTTAGACTGACAACTTCCAGATCCTGGCTCCCCTGAGAAATAGTGATCACACCGTCATAGCCCTGAATTTAATCAGCAAAACTGGGCTAAAACATCCTAATAGCAAAAGATGTTAGAATTTTAAACGGTTGGATGTATCAGCTTTAAGGGACAATCTACAGCAGGTGGACTGGGAAATCCACCCTCAACTTGATATGGATGCTCAGTGGGATTTTTTACTGCACGTGATCTTATGTGTTAAGAAAGTGTCAAGCAAACAGTCCCCGAAAGTTACAAAATATGACCTTCAAGCACATAGGAATTTAGTGAACTAAAAACAATGACAAACAATCAGAGGGAAAAAGTCATGGGGGAAATCAGATTAGAAAAGAATACGCGGGCGGTTAAAGCTCCTGAAAAGATTTTACCAATTATAATAAGATTTAGTTGTTCTTGTGATCATCTTAACACATTCTCTTTTTCGAAAAGCTTTCACTCTGTCTGAATTACGTATCCTCATTCGCCGTCGCTTGCTTGTTAGTGGTAAAAACGTTTCGGTAGGTTCTTGTGATAGTGCTTCTGTTCCGCTTTGTATCAGACTTGGTATTTGTTCTGGAATTTTACTACATCAGGGAGGTTGTCCAAAGCTTAACTAGTTCTTTCTGATGGCTATTCTACGTTTCTGGTTCCCATGGCACATCCATTTTTATCCTTCTACGGCCACTTCAAAGATGACTCTTCCTCTCCCAAAGTTCTTTTGTAGGTCTGAGGTCATGGATATACACTACTGACATTGTCTTGCGTAAGATGTCATCCTGTTGACCTTCCTTCCTAGTTAGTTTCATTGCGTCATTTGCTGTCCACAGCTTCCATTCTATTAGTGCTGCCGCCTGTGACTTTTGCTGTGAAGCTCTATTGTTAGTACTCCTGTAAACGGGTAAGAATCGTTAGACGATTTCTTTTACATCCCACATCTCTCTTAGCTTTTAAAACAGCATTCTTAAAATTGTTCACAAAACGTCCAGCCTGTCAGCTAAATTGTAGATCAATAGTTTTTACAAAATGCTATACACCAGACACCTCACATTTTTTACTGACTAAACACCCCTATTAGCAGTTTTTGGCTCGAAGTGTAGAATACCGGTACATTCGGAAAATACACGGCAGAGGTGGAAGATAACACTGATATGATTTTGACATTCAGTACCGTCAGACAGACGCTCTATTGTGTTTAATAAGTAATCACCCGAATACTAACGAAGATTCTGTTGTTGCTGTGATTGCTACCACAGATTACGCAAAAGATAGTTTCATGAATACAACGAGAGTCCTTCCTATAACGGCTTTCAAAGTAGCAGATGCCACACAAAGAGAGTCAGCGCTTCAACGGACGATTTAGTGCACAGCTAGTGGAAACCAACAAGATGAGAGGAGGATGGAAATTAAATATAAATCAACTGTGGTCGAGAGTTAAACGTAAGAAATTTCATTTAATGGGTGAGAACTAGTACGAAAAACGCAAAGATTTAAAGGATATGAAAGAATATTTGCCACTGCAATGGGTTTTTCGACAATAAACTTATAAAACCGGCACTCAAAAATGCTTGCTTTAATAATAATGTATTCTGGAAATAATAATTACCGAATTCACTCCAGTTTACAGGAATGAAAGTAACAAGATACTAGATTACGTAGATATTTTCGCGATGTAGTTAGTACGAAAAATTTGAGGATACCAGCCACCGACTCATGACGATATAAATGAAAATGTTCATTACTAAATTTAATGAGTTTCAGTGAAATCTGTATAACTTTTTAAACTACATTCTAAACCATTACAGTAGAGAGATTGATCTATTTAATCTGTACTTTATGAAAGAAATGCGACAGCGTAAAGATAAATTTCATTAAAAATAACAAGGGAATATTAAATAACGATGGAAAATTGCATCGACAAAGCGTAAAGCTAACAAAATGACACTGAAAATAACAAAACTGTACAACTAAAATACACCAGAAATCGAAAACCCAAGATAAATACATACCCTAATATGGACTGTTAAAAAATCAAACTAATATATAGCATGAACCGATTGATGTTAGACCACTATTGAAAACCTGGAAGCGCTGGACGACCAAATCGTCCTATTGTGGGACTCCTCAGAAGTGCGCATCCACGATCCCGCTCGCGAGATTTGAACCCAGGGCCTTCAGTCTCGCGCGCGAACACTTAAACTACTGGACCACTGAGCCGGCACCCAATGGTGTTAATGTCTAACCTCAACCAATCCACGAAGTTGCGCGACCATCTTCCATTGTATTGAGGTAGACACCTGTTTCAACCTGACACAGATTAGCTCCACTGGTCACGGCTTCTCACCAGAACTCCAAGAATTTTCTCACGAAGCTAGTCACTAGTGAGCACATGGTAATTATTAGTATAGGGGTTGTGGAGATTAAGTAGGTTAAGCGTTCGCGCGCAAGACTGAAGGTCCTGGGTTCAAATCTCGCGAGCGGGATCGTGGATGCGCACTGCTGAGGAGTCCCACAATAGGAATATTTGACCGTCCAGTGCTTCCAGGTTTTCAATGGTGGCCTAACATCAATCGGTTCGTGATCTCAATCAAAATTTAACAATCTCCACAACCCCTAAACTGATAATAAATAGCAGTAACGTAAATTGAACGGGAAGAAACGAATCTCAAAGTAATCAAACCTTTCAGTGTTGTTATTAACTCGACTCTTATAAAATTCACCTAAGATACAACACAATTTCAATGTACTTTAAATATAACAGGTCATATTTTCGTTTATTAAGTCAGCGACTGAATACTAATGATTGGATGAATTACTTGCGCTAATAATACTGATCATAAAGACAATTAGAAATAAAAAAATTATAGGTTTGTTAAAATTTGAAAATGGAGAGATAACCGAAAATTTCAGGCTTTCTAATCAGACTATGTTGGAACTTTCAAGCTTAGAAAATCAGTAAAATGTTTGAAAGGTATGTTTAGTTTCGATATATTCTGTGTAAACTACCTATTAATTTGATCAAGTGAGCAAGGTTGATGTTAGACACAGGTTACTAGGTAAAGGTGGAGTACCATTTGATGAGGTTCCAAGCCTTCATCGACTGAGGTAATTGGGACATGTATTAGTTATACCAAACCACTGCCTACTTGGACAAGTGTTACTGACTGGTGTATGACTAAGTTGGAAGAAAGATAGAAGTGGCCAAACCAAAATACAGTATCAGTTCACGAAGTCATGGACCGTTGGTTTGAACCATTTTAGTGGGTGCAGACTGCCTGGTTGGAATCCGTGTGATAACGGCGATCAGTGGTAGAAAATTTATGGGAACATCTCTCAGAATCCTTCACAACAGAGTAGATACACTTACTACTTAACTTCCTCCTGATTGTGTATTCCAGTATTCCTTCCTAAATACTTTTCCATTGTCTTTCCGAGTCATAGTCATTGCTACCATATTATTTCAGTCCGTTTTGTCATCCATCTTGTCAATTTTGTCTCTTCATATTAATTTAGTATAGCGAGTTAGGCCAAACTACAAGTTGATGATTTTTGTCTCATTCATAGACATATTATTTTCCACTCATTATCAATAATTATCAATTTAGAAAAATAAAAAAAGATTCAATTAATATCCATCTGACAGATAAAAAATAATAGGAGAGTATATACAACTTACAGTTCGATTCTGGCTTCCGAAGCCCATGTAACAAGTGAAAATTTTCGATTATTATTATCTTTGATACTTTGTTCTAATATTACCCATAATGGATTAACTGGTCGACTAGATGAATTCATTATCATAGATTGTTCAGTAGAATCACATGGTAAAACAACACCACCATCCAACAAAGATCCAACACCACGATAACCACCATTACTACTAATACTACTTATATGACTACTACCTAGTGAAGATAATGAATAAATAGCAGAATCATGTTCAACATTTTCCGACTGTAAAAAATTATTCATTAAATGACTTCTTTGCTGTGTTGAAGTATAACCATAGTCTGGTGTTAAAACTGATTTTAATAGAGATTCTGCATCTGCTAAATTTCGACGTTTCAATAATGCAGAAGCCTAAAAAATGTGGAAAAATATGTTTTAAACAAATAAACAAGTAATATAAATATATATATATATATAGTTTCAATAATGAAAACAATAGTGCACTGTGTGTAACAACACAGTTCATTTAGTTATTTTATATGTATTATTTCAATAGAAAGAAATTTTTCGTCACAAATTACCAATGTGTTTGTTTATTTATTTGTACACATAAATATTGGTACAAGGGGGCACAAGATACATACGCATCACACAATAATAATGAGAATGGAAGAGATAAAGAATATAAGGTGCGTGTGAAAAGAAAAAAAGAACAATGACGACCACAAATTAGTATATGGTAGTGAAATAATAATAATAAGGGAAACAGAAAGGTACAATCAGAAAGAATCCTTTCAGTTAAAGAAGTTACGGTCACATTTTATGAAGAAAGTAAAAGAACGTTACAGCATGATCGCCATTGGCTTCTAATCTGAGACATATCTGATAATGTCTCTAGTCACTGTGTTGTACCATCTCTAGGACCCCAACCACAGAGTCATGAAGGACCAATAGAAACCAGTTCTGTACAGCTTTCTTCCACATCACGACACCATGTCATACACTGACCATCTCGCCACTTTTTACAACCAGTTCCACTGTCGGCAAATAATGCAGGACATGGAATTCTTTGCGACGACATTCGTAGAACATGTCCAAGACACCGAAGTCGATGTTTCAAGATAGGGACACCAATTGGATTATCTTCCCTGCGCCCGAACACACGATGCCGAACCTCTGCATTACTAACATGGTGTTACCATTGGATGTCAGCAATCCTTCGGAGACAACGATGATCAAACACAGAGAGTCGTCTAACATCCTCGACTCGGAGAGTCCAGGTTTCACAGATTTCTCAAATTTGATGAGATGACAAATATCAATGTGTACTATATGAAGTTTACAAACTCTATCGCATACGACAATTTCAAAGCTGTTTTTATGTACCAACTAGTTGAATGAGAACAACACCAAAAGTTTATAAGAGATCCTATTATTTTATTTTACTACAGTCAAGGATGATTTATACAATTGGGATATCATCACATTGTCAGGTTCTATGAATACAAAAATTAACAGTACTAAGAAGTATTATACAACATTTCTGAAAGCTTACTAAATATTAGTATTTATCATTATGTTGATTTTCTTTTAAGGTAGAAAAATCTCTCTTCCAGTATTTTTTGTCTTTTTTATTTTATGAGACGTATCACTTGAACTATCGCTGTAATACTCCTCGTCCAGTCTTTAAACATTATTCTAGATATTGAATGATTTAGCTCAGAATCAATCGTAATGGTACAGATGTGTTCACTTTTTGTTTCCGATTGAACCTCAAGTTCTGAAGCACTATTATACTATTCACTCCTTAAATTCATTATTTGTTCCCGAAGCATATTGTTTATCCCTGTTACTATTTCTAATATCCTGACATTGGCCTTGATAATTTCATTTCTGTTTATGTTGTAACAACTTGAACTCATGAATAAACGTACCAGAAGCTAAGTTACTCATAACTGACCAACGATAAAAATTGCTGCTCATGTTGATATAAAAATGTAAGACCTCAATATTCTCAATTGGAAGAAGGATATTTTCGATGATGATACAATACACTAGTTGAAAGTACTATAAATATCCAACAATTGGGAAGTTGCATACAAATTTTATGTACAACATATGAGGTGTAAGAAGCTCTGGATTTATTATTGAAACAACTCAAATATGTATGACCCACGAGTAACAATCGTCAACTAGAAGATACAAACCAATAAATGAAGAAAAAATATTCACTTATTTATTAGGAGTGAAATCGATCTATTACAAGCTTACTAATAAAGATAATTAGCTCTTCAATTTTCGAAAAAAAATACAGAAAATATTCGAGAACCTTTTGAAGTGTAAAATAAAAGCGAACATTCCACTTATTCATGTTGACAGTTTCTTTATTTCAAACCTACATACATACATCAAATTTTCATTTGTTTTCTTGATAAATTTTCAAAGAAAACCCCTTGGATCGAAAATCAAATAACAAACAACTTTTAGAAATTAACAGAACACAAAATCAACATACCAAATTGCTTTTGGCTTTTCGTATGATAGGTGATGAGGGCTTATGATGTTTGACATATATATCTAAGGCTCGTCGAAATGCAGATTCGACCTATTGAAACAGGTATAAACAAAACGGTAAACGATCAGTATAGGGTAGTGGATATCTTAATAAAAACAATAAACGCAAAAACTGATAATTAGAAATAACGAAAAAAGTCATGTTAGTAGGAAGTGAGCATATGGAGTAATTGAAGTTCCTTTATTCACTTAATTTTTTTCTATCCTGGTAACCAGGCGATATAACTATGTATTATGAAATACAAAGTATTCATGGTAAGTGCTATGGCCTTAGCTATGCAATTACCAATTTAGATACCCTGACCTATACGACCAAACTAATGACGCATACACCAGTACGAGCAGCCTAGACTTCCGATTGGGTTTTTTTCCCGTCTAGCTCCCTGCCTGGTAAGTGCAGAACGCCAATCTCAGCCTCCGTGATACGAATCATATATTTAAAACATATTTAGTTTATATACAAGCAAAACAAGACCACATCACACCATAAAATAGAAAATAACATTTGCACAAGATCAAGCTAAAACGTGGCCGTGATTGTGACTGTTACTAATAAATTCGGAATATCACAAGAATGGTAAATCGTATGATAACAGTCCCTAGGTAAAATAAAAGCTTATAATGCAAAGAATATGAATATACATATAATATAATTACTTAATAGTCATACAATAAGAATATATGTATAATCCATACGTAATTCCCAACCGTTACCATTCATTTATTCTCGCCCGGATAGAACACTAAGATTTATCCGGAGTTTGATAAGCTTAAATTTTATGATAAACTACAATGAACTGTGATAAATTCTTGAGTAGTGAGAAATATTCATTAACTGAATTCAGGTATATCTCTTCCTCACTCTAGTGCACATTCTATAAACAGATGCTGGCAGTAATAAATGAAAGTTTTTGCTCAATTTTTAGTATTCAATTCAAAAGCAGTTCAATCAACAATCATATTATAAATACCAGAACTAGAAATAACGAACAAGACACTGTGAAAAGATTTTTTAAAAAACACTTGTCATTAAGCAACTTAATAGCCAATATTTTCCACATTATTTAACTAAACATGAAGGACACATGTATTGTGGAATCTGATACAAGTGTTTCGTTCTATTTAACACTTATTAGCTAGTCAAGTATTCTTGTAATTCAGCATTGATGTTCAACATTGAGACTTGAACTCATTAGCTTTTGCTTCAAATGCTCAATGAGTTATCTATTGAGTTACTGAGTTCAGTTAAACATTATTTCAATTCACATATAACAACATTTAATTCCAACTTAATTACTATTACTAAAATGCTTGCATAATCTAATCAAAATTGCTTACAGCTTAAAAATGTGTTATATATAATACACAAATTTTTAGACATCAACAATGCATTTAATACTATTATTAGTTGTTGTTGTCATTGTTGGTGTTACAGTACAGATATTTTCATTGAATTCAATTCATTCAAATCAAGGAAAAGGGCCCATTTAATTCTCTTTCTTAGACACGTAGACATAGATGACGTAAAGTATAGTTAAGGGATACAATGTAAAATCTTGAATAAATCGATTCAAATTAATATAAAATGTGAGATAAACAAATTAATTTCATAGAATCCATATAAAACAGAATGATGTATATAGTAATAATTATAATATTAAGTATATAGTAGTGTGTCCATAAATTTTTACGAGATATGATGCACCGAAGCAAAATAAGAAAAAAAATAGACTGACAGACTTAGAAATAACTAGTAACACATGAAGATATAAACCACATTAAATACACATAAACATGGACATTTGTATAAATTGAACTTTATGTAAACAAATGAAAAGTTGAATATGTAGTTGATAGGAATAAAAGAATGAAATATGTACCGTACTGCACTGATTTACTTGATGATGAGAAAGGTGTTAATAACCAGAAAACTTGTTTCGATGACACTGTTGAAATTGGATAGCTAACTGTTATAACTGTGAAGTCATTGCTATTATACACGTATCGACCCGACTGAGTTCACAGTTTACCTGGTTTTACTTGACAGTTGGGAACTGCTTCAATTCCTTAATCCTATAGTTTAAATACTAGGAAACAAGAACCATCACACTAACCAGGAATTAGAGTGAAGTCACAAAAGACTAGTATAAGTGAAGATATAAGGAATCAACAAGAAAGTGTCTCCAAACAAGTCACAAAACCACATCATCATATCACACTATTCAGTATGTTACGGATAACTTGGAAATAATAGTTCGTATATCACTGTCATCAATTTTTCCATTTAGGCCTACTAAATGTCCCTGTAACTCAATGCAAAACTGTCATCTTAATGACACCATATATATTTCTTGTTACAATTAAAATAATTAGTTTTTGTCACCTATTGCCAATATTTTAGACAGTAATAAGATTTAACGATAAACATTTTATCCTATACAGTATAAAAGCGAAGATATTTTGTTGAATTTGCTTTGTTCTAACTTTCCACTTTGTCTGTTATTGATCAGCAATGTTTTCGCTCTTTTCAAATATCCTGGATTCAATGTGTTCGAAAGATTATCAAACACAAAAACACACAGTTGAAGATTTTCGATGTATTCATACAATTGTGTTTGTATCTATTGTACAGTACATTTAGAAACCACTGTTTCTTAGAATTTATTTAAAACAAGTATTGGTTAATTAAATTTGAGTTATAAGGTATGTGCAAGTCACTTAATTTGGTCCATATAATAATGAACTTATATTCAATACAGACAAGAACACGTAAGATTATCCTTTTTTTATTTAGAAAAATTATTCCCACATCAATTTATTCGGGAAGAAGTGTGGAAATTATTCATGGTATTCTACAAGAATAAATATTTTAGGTGAAATGTTCGTGTCCTTCATGAAGAAGAAAATAATCCGTTTATTTTTTAAATGATTGGCGAACATATCGTGCTATTTGGACTTGACATGAATGACGTTAGTTACTATTCAGCGATCAATCAATAGTACATACATTTCAGTCATAAAGAAGGTTGATCATGGTCGGAATAGAACAGTGGTAACACCTCTGATTGTGAAGCTAGATGACACTAGATTGAATCAGACGCGGAACATTAGTTTCTTAAAAATTACACTCACACTTCGATGACAAGTGCCGAATAGCACGAAACCTAGGTTCAGAACATTCTATTAACTTCCTCTAACCACATTACATTTCCCTACTCGGCTATGCTTTGAATAAATGAGGAGATTGCAATAGAATTCATCAATTAAAAGTAGTGTGACAGAAAGACATGTTATGGGCATAAAACTAATCGCAAATGTTTGCGGATAACGACAAATATTAAATGATCACTGTTGAATAAAAAAACAATCCTATGTGTATGGGTTTTTAGAATATTGGACTTAAGAGAAAAATGCTATTGCAGTATCGTATAATAAAACCGAACACATATTGAATATAGCATATATTAGCAACATGGCACTGATGACAGATAATCTCTCAACAATACTACACTATGCATAAAAACTAGACTAATGATTGTATATGTTGCATTTTCTTGGGTTCCCTATAATGGTGCCAGGATTTATAGTTCTTAAATAACATGTAAAACATCATTGATTGTAATTATTAGTGTTGAAAAAGAGAACAGAATGTCCTACTGATAAAGACACAGAACCAAAAGCCATTCGCCATGATAAGATAGACAGAAATAAGAAAGAAGCTATTTTTCCCCATTAGCCAATACAAATCAGATATCAGTGTAGGGGTTGTGGAGATTGTTAAATTTTGATAGAGATCGTTAACCGATTAATGTTAGACCACCATTGAAGACATGGAAGCACTGGACGGCCGTTTCATCCTATTGTGGGACTCCTCAGCAGTGCGCATACACGATCCCGCTTGTGGGATTCGATTTTATTGATTTTATTTTGGATTCCATCAAAACCAGTACAGTAACACCAAAAATATACTTTTATTATTATTACATTATTTATAGAACCATGTATTTGACTATTTGTCCAAATGATTGGACATGGAAAAAAAGCATCCAGAATCTAAAAAAGTAAAGACATTTAAAACACTTTTCTTTTCAGTTATATAAACTTATGAATATCAATTAAAGTAAGGAGATTGATGAGTAACAAGTTTTTATATTGTATATATATATTGAATGTCCAATCACTGTTTTCTTTTGCTAAATTCCAAAATGGAAATATGATAGACATGATTTGTTTACCTCGTACACCGTATATTTTCATCTAGTTTTTGGAATATTACTGATTCAATAAAGAATTCCAATATAAAATAAAATGTTGATGTTGGCAAAAAGTGGCATTTCATAAAAAGTTGTTCGGAAAGTAAAAATAAAGCAGAGTAAGAATAAATGTGACTTATAGGTATCAATACTAAGATTGGACTTGATGGCTTTTCAAACAAATTGAACATTGAGTAGAGAATTAACAATAAATATATTTTTTACTATAATTCAATGAGTAGAAAAATTTTATTTCTGATGTTTCGTGACTTAATGTAAGCCATACATGTTTAAACTTGTGTTAATTTAATTTCAGTCATTTATTTACTCTGAAGAATTGGCTTAAATTAGGTCACGAAACGTAAGAAATACAATTTTTCTACTCAATGGGTTATAACAAAAAATATATTTATTATTAAATGTTATATTATTTTTCGAACTTGAAAAAGAAATTAAGACATGTGTAAGAAAACTAGCTAAAATCATAGAATGACGATTAGGACTAATGACTATTACTTAAAGGTGTTGTGTGAACTCTCATACAGTGTGCATTTAAGTTAATTTATCTTCATATTATACTCTATTTGAGTTAAAGAAGGAGAGAACTAGTTCGTTTGATATATTGGCTGTCTAGTATACATTTCCCTACTACTCGTCATTTCAAAATTAAGAACAGAAACTTGTTTTCTATTTCTTGAACTAATTCAAATATGGGTCAGTGGATGACTGAAGTTCCATATAAGAAATTATCTTCCACAGAACTCTCAAATGTTCGTCGTTAGGTAGATGCTGAAGACTGTCACGTTAGACAATAACGTAGTGTAAATTTAAAATTATTGTTGACTAATCACAAGCGATTATTCATGAGAAAATACATACAAACGATCCCCATCGTAGTCTTGACAGTGAGAGACTCTGAAGACATCACTGTTGCGTCTAATTAGTTTACCCACAGTCGTTGCTCATTTGCTTGCTAATATAACAACATACATACACTTTACTTATTGAAATAAGGCTAACATATTTTGTTAAAACTCATAATTAATTTCATCTTCGCTTCAATCAGTAGAAGAATAGTTCGAAGCCACAAATATATATAAATATATAAATATTAGTTTAGGCAAAGAGTTAAACTTCGATATTATTTGCATATCGCAACAACACAACAGACATTTCACGAAGTAGAATTTCAGAATTTGATTAGAAAGCTTAATCGTTCTGTTTATTAATATTTCGTTAAAACGTTAAAAGCCTAATTGTGTAGTATTTCGTTAGTAACTGTTGCAGAGTAGAAAATTTTATGAGTGTGTGAGTGTGATGAAGTTATTAACGAGATAATAAAAATAAACTGGTGATTGTGAGATTAACAGATTTTCTGAAGGAAACAGGCAATTAGCACCTGTCAGTCAATCGTTGCTTTGTATTTTACATCTTATTAAAGTGTCTGGAAGCAAGGTTGATTAATGTTGCCTGACCCTATAATCAAAGGGAAACAGACTTTATCTTGATCACACACAATCATGTCACAGGTCATAGAGGCTGAGGAGTTTTTTCAGTTACCTTAAGAACCTCTGCCACAGAGAAAAGGTGATATATAGCACTTAGAAGAAAACTTTCTTGTCTTTCTATAGACGGGGGACCGTATAGCTACGAATCCCCATTGTTTATTTGAAGATTAATGTGCTGAAATGAACGTTTGTAGACTCCAAATAGAACAGATGTGAATTAAAACTAGATTTTTGGGAAAATATGTTATCTTAATAAATGTCATGTAATACACTGACCTCGCAAGAGATAGAACGGCTGCCTTCAGTTTAACACTTAAGCAGTATTAAAAGTTATATAAGACTTGTATGTATTATTATTTTCAGAAGGAATATATTCTGGACTATGCCAACGTATGTTCACAGTGAAAATGTCGCTCTGTTCTATAGTGCCATTTATGGGCTCAAACACTAGCACAAAACTAGAGTTCATAAGCGGAAGTTCATTGAATATAGTTTAATGAGAATCAATAGTTTAGATGTAACACGTAAGTAAACAACAGATTGCACGTCACAACTTGAATATGACAAGTTTTTTATTTAATAATTTAAAGGAGTCAACATATTTCAAAAATTAAATAAAACCCAAACTAGTAATAAATAATCTTCTGAGAATAAATACTAGTGTTAGAAACAAGTGAAAACTATAAAAAATACACAAGTTAATTCGGTCATTAAATGGATAAAACAAAAGAGAACTATATTATACATCGAACATTTCAGATATAAAATTTATTGTTCACATTTAAATAACTAATATCCTGTTTTAAACACACTACGTCGGGAATTGGAACCAGATATCAAAAGAATGAATAACAAATGGAAAGGATCGCCCAGGTTAGAGTTCGACAGAGAATGCTAGCCAGTGGCTTATGCTCCTTTGCGAGGGGTGATAGGCGTAGGTGTTTTAAACTTGAATATTTATCCTGAGGTATATTTTTATAGAACATAACAGTATTTTCATGATACAACTTAAACAAAAACACGGACTAATTCATAATTCATATTGGCGATAACCTAACTAATTACGTTTATTGTCAATTCATTAAAACAAATATCAGTCAGTCAGTCAGCTACAAAGTAAGTCCAGGCACATAAATGTATTGGTCCAAGTTGCCATACCGCATTAGCACAAAAAGATGAACACCGGATTTATAGGAGTGGTTAAGTCAATGGTGATAATATATAAAAGAAAGACTGCATATAAGTATATAGTACAGGAAGAAAGATTTAGTATGTAGAAAGAAAGATATGAAACGATTTTAATCTCTTATTTTAAGGGAAGACAAAGAGTGTATACACCGACGCCATTGTGATCGATTCTGAGCCATGTCAGCCAGAGTCTCCAACCATTGGTTACGATAGTCACGCGGACACCAACCGTGTAGTCTGCATCTACCAACATGGCTCAGACCAGAAGTTAGTGTCTTCAAGCAATGATGCCACGTTTTGGTTTGGCCGTGAAACAAATATACTTATTAGAAAATAGAATATGAATTAAACTATAATACATATTGGCAAAAATTCTTAAGGAACAAAAGTTTACATGAGTCCTATCATATGCTAGCTGAAAAATGGTGGGAGGAGAATTTGTATTTCAAAAGTTTACAAAAATGATAATGAAAATATAGACATAACTGATTTTTTTAACAGATTAATTGAAATAAAAGCATTATTGACCAGTTTATAAAGGAACGGAAAGATGAATCAATTAGATAAGTGAACTCAATGAAAGGAAGGAAGGAAGGAAGGAAGGAAGGAAGGAAATAAGCAGGCAAAAAAGGCAAAACATTTCTGTATGACAGTAAATACACATGGTACACAGAAAGAAATACACAAACATAGATTCATCTAAAACTTATACTAGAAACAACATTTGTTGGACAAAAGCATCATTGTTGAACAAATCCAAATCTTTCTTAACTGATATAGCTTTCATAGATGAACCAGCATATTAGTATTCAAAACAAATTGAGTTACGATGATGAAGATGAAACAAAAGTTTATGGAGTATAGGAAGAAAAAGCCAAACCTCAACTAGATAAACGCATTACATTAAGTACGATCAATGCATTTCCATAAGTTTGATAGGCTTGAAATCTCAACAGAAGCTGAATAACTGGAGTACTGAACAGGAATATATAAAACCTGAGGAAAGTAGAGAGAACTGGAGGGATATGTAACTAAGCCTTGATAGTTATGGCGATATCATGTAATGTTATTCAACAAAAAACCGGTGCAACGGTTTTCCATAGGCAATTTGTTCATAACTAGTGATCATCGTATTCTTCATTATCGAACTAGGGTCATAGGAATAATAAAATATAGTTCATTTCACTTTTCACAAGTCCATTATTTATCAGTTCTTTTGATTCTACCATGTTAGAAAAATCCGATAGTGACCCTAATCACCTATCACAATGTTAAACTGAGAACCTCTAGGGTCGAGACATAGGGATTTATTCTTAATGCTCATGAATCCGAATAAAAGGGTCGTTGAAATGTTTTTACGAAAAGAATAAACATACACCTTTCCCAAATGGCATGCTACCCAATTGTTACACATTGCTGACTAACTAGGATCATAAACTTCAACTTTGACCCTTCTAGAGTTACTGTCGATCCCAAGCCCGGATAAAGGAAGAGGGCTGGGCTTGGGGTCCGCAACCCTATCCCGTGAAAAACCTAGCTAAAAAACGCTAACCACTAACAAAGTAAGATCAAAAACTATCATAAAACACTGCAAAATATCTTGTAAGTTATGATAATATACTGTAATTACATGAGCTTTGATGATCTGCGATTCCTACCTTGTACAGCTTTAAGTACTTCATAACACCTTTTTATATTTCTTCAAGGAATATAGAACCATATACAACGAATCTCACTAAAGTAAGCCAACGCCTGATTCCAATTTCCCGAAACTATAAACATTGGATCTCCAGTTGAACCACTCTGTTAGATTCCAGTGACAAACATTTTAGACGTAAATTAACACGTTGACTAATTCAGCTTATAACTAAGTATCGCGAGTGTTAATATCATCACAAAGAGTTATGTTGTTGATAAGAAAGTAATTTGGATAGAAATGGAAGTCAATAATTAACATTCCAGCCATTATTTTCCTTCGTTAACCTTAAACATATGATTGAGTAATATCGTGCAACTGAGAACAAATAATCCATTAATCTGAGTTATTTTTACTATAATAAAAATTACTGATTACACCAGAGATACTGGATTTACATGAAATATGAGAGTCGTATTTTAAAGTTTTAGGATATCAATAAAGATTAACAATAAGATTATAGAACATACTTCATCGAATTTCCCTTGACTTTGACAAAGTAAGGCCAAATTGTTCAATTGTTTTGCTACATCCAAATGATCTGCACCTAATAACTTTCAAACAAACAAAAAAAACGAAATGGTATACACAAAAGTGATATACTGAGATATAGTTTCTAATGTCATAATAAATAAATCACAAAATTCATTTTCATTAAACTGTGATTATGAGAATTCGATTAATCTGAAGATATAGTTCACTATGTACAAGAAAAAGTATTTAAAACCAGTTAGTATTGTAAGATTATTTAGTCTTATTTAAATGATTCATAAGTAATGTGCTCAAGAATAGATGTGTTCAAAGTTCTAATAGTAGAATTAGACAATGAAATGAGAATATTTACCAAGTATTGACTGTTATGGACAATAAATGAACGACTCAATGTGATGAACCAGCTCTAGTTAAAGAAATGGTAATTATAAAGAAAAATCCCATTTCGGAAAAATAGTGTATTTCTCAACACACAGTGATGAGATAAAAGGATAGTAGCGATCAATTGTGAATTACATTACTTAATTATTATCCAATAACTGAATGATCAAACACTAACTATAAAACTTAAAAACCATAATCTCGAGAGTGATCGATCATAGAAACTGATAACTATTTTTGAGATAATAAATAAGAACTTTCGTCTAAATTTGAACGAACAGTTTCACAATATTTGGGCGCCGAGTTAATTTGAGACATTAAAAAGAAGAATATATTTGTAAAATCTCAGCGAATGAATTTGAAGTAGATAGAAAGAAATAACTATACAATCAATAATGAATTTTAATCCCCTTTTCAATTAAAAACTAACTTCAAAAAATAATGGTTAACTTTCATGTTCACTAAACAACAAAATCACAAATTATTCATGATCATCATTTCACGAACATTCTATTAAAATAAGATTTTCTTTTAATACACCGATAAAATGGGAGTCAACTGTGTTGAGAATATTGGTTAAAATAAACTATCCCAATTAGTCATTTTAAGATTCCGTAAGACTAAAAAATATCTCTTATTGACGCCTAACAATTTTATTCTGAAACTAAGTAATATACAAATCAAATAGGTTTTTAATGGAAGAATGAAAAAAAAAAGAAATGATTTCAACACTGAATAGTGAATTATAAGAAAATAAATGGCATAAATCATCTACCGATTACCTTATTTACTCCGATTTCAGTCACCCAATATGTGAGATTTATTGATACCATTACACAAACTTATACTGAAACGTTTGAAGTGGAGTTTTAATTTGTGATCTAATAGTTGGAAGTCCTCTTTTTTAACTAGTATTTCATAAGTATTAATTATGTTAAAGCATTAAATTCCTACAGTTGTTTAGTTTAAAGTGTAACTCAGTAAGTTTTGGAAGGATTTGTAAACTAGACAATGTTAAGCCATGCTTAAATTATAATAGTCAGTTAGTCAGTCATACACACAAAGTAGAACTTGGCACGTATATGCATAAATTATGATAACTGTCAAACAATACAAAAATAAGACGAACTATCCCTAGTCAAAACCATAGGATTACAAGTATACAGCAATATGATCACAGTTAAATCTTACAATTAATCATATTATTGTAAATAATACTAACATGAAAACATTTCAATTTATGAAGTGATATTAACCGAATAAATACTGAAAATCTAGAAAGACTGGACAATTGTTTAATTAGATTTAACAGAATATTTACCATGTGTTGTCGAGAGAGTTGCTTAAATTAAAACTAGGACTCTTATAGGTTATTATCAAATCAGTAAAATCAGTGTAAAACAGGAAACAACGTTTATTTTTCAATGTTAGCAAAAAGTATCCACATTTACTGATATTATATTAGATCATGAATATTTTCCCTACAATTTCAAGTTCCAATTTTGAACTTACTTACATAAGTTAGTGCTTTTCGCTTTCTTTTCCTAAATAAAAAACTGAATTCAGCCTAATCAGTTGATTGGAAATTATCAGATCCAATCAGCCTAACCTATCTTGTACAATTTCAACAACAACAAACCCTCCGAAATTAGAAGTAATCATTTATAAACGAGAACAACAACAATATACTTAACCAAAATAAAATTAAAGACAGCATAGGATTCCGAAATCTATCGTGTGAATACATTTTAATTTTTTTATCAGTAAAGGGTTGTGGAGATTGTTGAGCTTAGATCGATATCATGAATGGATCGATATTAGAATATCACTGAAAACCCTGAAACACTGGATGGCCGTTTCGTCCTAGGATGGGACTTCAGAAGTGTGCATCCACGATCCTGCACGTGGGATTCGAACTAAGTGTCTGGTTGTGAAGTGATAAAACTGAGATTTTAGATAGCGTGTGTGTGTATGTATGTAAATATTAATAAACCACTTTAATCTAAGTAGGATTTCCATGTTTCTCTTCTCCATACGAAATACAAATTTCTTATCGGGGGAAATTTGAGAAAACAAAAAAAACATACACTAGAAAAATAGAGAAGTTATACAATCAGCCTCAAATTTGATCAAAACAAGAAAAGTGAAGGCTAAAAACGATCAATACATACTTTGAATAAACTAATAAGGAAAACATATTTACATTCACCCAAGAAACGTAATCATGTTAACAAAGTAACTGGAATCTTGAAGTTGACAAAAGGTAATCAAACACAACTGATAATTAAAACTTTTGAATATTTTACTATTCTTAAAATAAACACTTGAATAATTTTAAGGAGAACATATAAAATACGAAAAATATTGCTAAACTATATTGAGTGACAAAATCAGTAGGATAAAAACAGACTGAAGTAGAATTAAATATTTAATGCAACTATTTGAGATGGATTGATTGATGAAAGTGATTAATCTCAAGATGCAAAGGAGAAGGAACTGAATAATTTGTGGATGTATATTATGTTGTGATAACATTAGCTAAAGAAATATGATACCATACAGAAAATCGAATGATTGTTTGGAACTTTTTCCGTATTGCAAATCATTTTCCAAAATCTAACATCCAGGATTAAAATGCTTAGTGGTGAGAATATAATTAATGAACGACCCTTGAGTGATGCTAAACTGACCTTGAGAGTGTCCACCTAATAACCAGGACCAAATGAGGGTTATAAACCAGTGTGAGGAATTAGAATTATGATATACAGTTCATGGTTAGGGTTAGGAATTAGATTTAGGGTTTTCATCACGAACTGATATCAGCTATAATGACAAAACTCTATTTAGCCAAATTGACGGGTGAATCTCGCGCCAAAATCCTAGACCTGTTATCTTATACCTGATTGGTTTGTCCATAAATTATAATCTCGCCTGTTTAGTAATAGTGCGAACGCTAAGAATAAAAAACTAATAAGTGATGACTTAATAGATTAAATGTGTATAGAGCGTCAAATTAAGACATGGGAATGATTCATCAAATGACCTATGTTGAGGAAATACATAGCTTTTGGTCTGAGAACTTTAGACAATCTAACCAAAAATCGATTGTAGAGATTTAGTCGCACTTATTCTTTATCTTTCTACAAATTTTGAGTTCATTATCATTTCATGAGTTTTATCCTTTGATCTCATTCGTTCATTTTGAATTATAATTCCTGTATTTATCTATTTGCTGCGCCTGACGTTAATTGTTTTCATTTTCAAAGCTTTTTATTTTGTTAATTTCCACTTTCTATGTGTCAATTTTGGGGTCTATGCATTTCTGTCCTAGATCCTATGTTGTTCCTTGACTAATTGACTGATTCATTAGTACATGTTGGTGATACGTTATGAAAGTGGGAGAGTACTGGTCCCTTATAATAATAATCAATTATAATGATATCAAACTTAACTCGGCTAAACAAGATAATATTCCTGATTATATTTAAGAAAACTACGTATATAATCTGCCTGGAGTATATACAAACTGAGGATTTTAAAAAGTACTTTAGTTTATAAGAATTGCAGTATATCAACTTCATCATTTCCGAACTATCGACCATTTATGCAAATACGCTTTTCCTATTCCTGTGTAGACTGTTCGAGACACTTGAAGGTTTACAGAAATTAGTCACTTAATTGCTTCGTTTTACAATTATATGCACAGACGATTTTCCTAAGTTCAATTGATCGTCAGCCATACGAACAATAAACTACTGAATAGAAAACACAGAAGATGCAAGAAGCTGAGTACTGTCCTAGCGTTGCATCATTTTCGCAGTATTTACGGTCTTCATAGGAAAGCTTGATTCCTTTGAAAAGAACTAATCTGTTTTAAGAACTTTCCAAATTTGTGTATTTATTGTATAGAATATGTACAAGCATAGAACAATGGAAAATTTGTTTACAGAGATAGAATGAACGCAACCAAGGGAAAAATTTAAAAAATCTCAAGTAAATTTTAATCTCTGTTCTTTATCAAACTTTAAATGTGAATTAAGGAAGAAAAACTACGACATAATAGCTAATTGGCTAAAATTTAGATTTGTATTTGTCTGTATTCAAATAAGTGAATCTGTCTTAACGTAGCATTGTCAGAAATCAAGATACAGAAGGACTTCAAACCATATGACTAACCACCATTAGTTTCTACTGACACCGCCATGCTTGCAAACACAATAAAGTTCACATTGATCTCAGATTTCATACACTTTTTCAGCTTAACACTATTCTTCATATACATCGCTAATTAGCAGGATTTAGTAATTCTTTTTTGAAATGAATATTGTGAGCTCTAGTAACAATTATAATTATTATTACCAATATTATTAGTATTATATGACTGTGAACATTGTTGCAGAAATGAGAAAAAAAGATTTATTCCTCTAATTGAAGATACATTTCCATGGAAAAATCATGCAAAAACATGTACCTTCCTGTAAACCTACACATAATTCAAACTAGAATATGATACATCTCACAGAACATGTTAATTTCAGTGTGACTTTTGATCAACAACTGAATATATATATATATATATATATATATATATATATATATATATATATATATATATATATATATATATATACATGAGTATTACATTTTCCAATGTTTGTTAGTGAACTATAGAGACAAATTAATCAAGACTTAGATAACGATTTCTAGTTATTTGATGTGCCAAATGATTAAGAACTGTTTGGCGAAAATAGTCTCCTTGAAGACAGTAAAAACCTTAAGGACACTTGTAGAGCTGGAGACCAATTTAAAGACCACAACACCAGCATTTTAGTAGATTGCACGCTGTACTGCATAGGTCCTTTGAACTATGATTATAGTTTGAAAATAATGACAAAATTTATGTAAGACAGAAAACATATGTCCGATAAATGAATTAGACTTTATGAACTTATCATGGGTACTTCTATTGTTATTGTTATTATTATTACCAAAGTATGTAACGTGTAAACTTAAATATTAACTCGTGCGCTCACACTCTCACATACATATTATGACTTTGGAAATAATTCAATCAATCCCCTTCCATTCTATATCAATCACACTTAATATAACTAAAACTTTCAAAATGAATAAATCATATGATATTATTATTAATATGATATTTGGAATATATAAGCTATGAAATCGTTAAATAGTAGATGGTTCTAATAAATAAATACATGCTTATTTTAATACAAATAATTACAGATAGATGATACATACTAGTGAGAAAACGTTGGAAGTTCTTATTTCATTCTAACCAACCAATAAGTGTCACACTGTTTGATTTGATCTGATGTTCTATATGACCACTACAAAATTATTACTGAACACATTTAAATGCTTTTAATGGAAATTAGCCGTGGAATTTAAAACAAAGGTTTTAACCTGAGCAGAAGGTTTATCAGTTACATATGTATCCTGATCCTTTGGTGAATTTAAATAAAGTGAGAAGAATAAGAGTTGCAGAATAGTGAGAATTCATTATATTTCAAGGTTTCTCATCAGCTGGGAACAGCCTGAAGTTAGAATTAGTTATATTATTATAAACCAATCAATGAAGTTGAGTTCGAAAACACAAGGAAAATCCAGAAGAAAAACGATGGAAAAACATACTTAGATTGATAGTTCAATTCAATTGAAATCATGAACCTATCTAAGTTAGGCAACCATTGAAATCTAGGAAACACTGAACGGGCGTTACGTTTTAGCATGGTACCACCCGGAGGTGTGCTTCTACCACCCCGCAACTAGGAATCGAGATCAGGACCTACAGTCCTGGGCGAATGCTTAGCTTCTAAACCACCGAGAACAGACCCAGTAGTTTGCAAATCTAGCTTCAACCAATCTGCAGAATTGCGCGACCATCTTTTTTTTCCCAGTGGATTTGATTCTCGGTTGCGAGAGCGCACATGCGCACTAATGAGGAGTCCCATACTAGGACGAAACGACCATCTAATGCTTTCAGGTTTTCAATGGTGTTCTAACTTATATGGGTTCACGACTTCAATAAAACTCAACGATCGCCACAACTCCACACTGACAATAATTTAGACTTACTAGTAATTTCTTCAAAATGAAGTCAAAGTGGGTGATTTCATAAACAATAATGAAAAGACAAAAAAATTGGTAAATGAGTAGTAATAGAGCTACTTAGTCAACATAAAATTAGAGTTAACTTCGTGAGTGAATCTCGATGGAATTTTTTGTAATATAGATTACAATAAAGAGACTATGTAATTAACAAATGTCAAAACAATATATTTATTTTATAATGGAAATGAGAGGTTTGCAATACTTTCTTTCTGTATACGAAGGTCAGATTTAAAACGCTTGATGGAGGTAGCTTCTGCAAAGCGGGTTGAAAGCGACGTTCTCTAATTGTTCTTTTCGTTTTATTTATAGATATCCTTAAATTTGGAAGTGTTATTAGCAACCAATAGCAATCGGACCTAATAGTCAATACTTCGAATGCTGCGGAGTTACTTCAACAGAAATGTCGTTTCTTCTGTTTCTTCGGGATCTGATGATATCGAATATTGGTTACTGGAAACCTTTGCATAATTCATACTATTTACAAGTGTAAATGCAAATGTAATTTTAGGCAGAAAAAATTACTTTTTCTCGTATACTAAGCGCCCGCCGACACAACGGTTCCGCTTCAGTAAATCGACCAGCTTTAGCATGTAAAACTGCCAAATTATTTAAAGCAGCTGCTACCTATAATAGTTTTGAAGAAAAATCAAGCAAAAAAGAAATATAGAATAAAACGGAAGAAGTTACAACAACACAAGGATAATACTTACTAGCCGCTTCAATATCATGGGAGAAAACTTCAAAAACATCATTGTGTTAAATGTTTAATTACTGAATAAACGATGAAAACCATTGATACACTACCGCAACTTCGATTGTACGATATAGATTTATTCCGAAATTTTGTTAGAAAGTTCAATGCATAAAACGTGTTTGAATCACATTTTTTGAAATATGACACTTCTAAATCCCATCGAAACGTATGGATACTAAAGAGATTTAGGAGTCTAATAATACCATACTTTGAAAATCTTATTTCTCTTTTTCCAAATTTTTTTAAACTACATGAACAAAAATAAAATGAGAATTATGCAGCAGAACTTAGTTTTACATATAATTGGTAAGAATGATAAGCGTTTTGGGTTTTTTTTGCAGGAATCTGATATTTTTCTGATTAATATCTTGATCATGATGTTGATGCTCGGGTGAAGCCGATCTAGTCTAGTGGTGAACTCTATTCTTGATGATTAAGTCAAACGTTTTTTTTTCATAAAAGAATGTTATGTAACTTTTCAACATCAAAAACATACCAGCACATGGTTAGGTCCCAAAAGTTTCTCTCGTATGTTAATTACTTCTTTGAGAATATCAGATGCGTCCTTGTATTTTCCTTGATCACTAAAGCATTAAACAAAAGAGGAAAAAATCACTATTCAAACATGAAAGATCCAGAAGACACAGCAAATGAATAAAATGAACACTAGTTAGTAAACTTACCAACAAAATGATTGTTAAAAATCCCTATTTAATCAACATTACAGCAGATATAAGTAGGATATCGAAATATGTAACTGACGAGCAAACACATAAGCGACCAAATGTAAAGTAGTTTGCATGAAACTACAAATAATATCATCAGACACTAATGATTTTAAAAAAGCTTAAAGAAACTTTGTTTCGATTTGCCGAAAAAACAAGTTGTATGAAATTTTTTAAACAAATGTGTTTAGAATATCAAAATAAGGATATAATAGATCGGATTTTAAAAAGTTACATTTTTTTCTGATGATAAGCACACAATGATATATAATGAACTAAACTTATAACAATTCCCAACAGGATTTTTCGGTGTGCACAAAGTTTATTAAGATCCAGTTCGTTAGAATGAAGTCACTTCCATTTAATAGATTGACATTAAAGCCAAAACTCTTTAAAATATAACTTATAATGTGTATGCAACTTACCGGTAAACCAAAGCTAAGATATTCAGTAGAGCAGCAACCTCAGCTTGGTCACGACCACCAGATCCTTCTAAATCTCGAATAGCTTGTAAACATAAAGATGCTGCAACATCATGCTTTCCCTGACTTGTATAACGTAAGGCTATGTGATGTAGTGTTCTAAGCCCAGGAGGAACATAAATTGACTGGGAATTCCGATGTCCACTTAAACCATGGAATTCACTTGGATTGCGACTTCGATTTACTGACAGTGAGTCCATATCCGCATCAAGTAAACTGGTATTCATTATTCCGCTCATTTCTAAGTGGTTGTATGGTGAAAATGATGAAACAGTGGTAGTTGTTGTTGTAGTCGGTTTCCAAAATTTGTTGTGTGTATCGAATCGATCTACATGATTAGATGTGTTCAAATGGTTTGGAGAACTCATTAGGCCGAGAACAGATGCAACCATTATCGGCGGATCATCTTCCAAATGTTTAAAAGATGGATCTAAATTAATTTTGTTGCAATTAGTCAAAGAATTATCGTTAGCGAAAACGTTTACTAAAATAGGGTGAATAAGAAGTTTTAATTAATGGAAATATGAAAAAATATATTCACACGGTACCTCTGTGGTCAAATCATTTCACTTCCAATCAACAGGTGGCTAGCCCGAACTCCATTTCACCTTCTTCAGTTTTGATCGTTGAATGGCATCACTAACCGTCATACAGTGTAACTTATAGTCGAGCACATGAATATTTATTCAGTGAGTTTAACAAATTATGCGCACGAACACGACAATGAAGTTATCTATGGCAGTTGAAGGTAAATAATATTATAGGGCCTGCTACAGATGTGTTGGTTTAAGTTGGTACATTTTACATCAAGGAAGAGAAAGAAAATCAACCAGAGGATAAGTGAGTGGTACCAAAATACTCTGAGAAAAATCACAGAAAGAACAAATACAATCGATGGATAATTTCTGCGAAATTACGCTAAAACCCCAAATCAAGGGAAGATATATAAAATGATTGCATATAATCCATTGGTAGGATTTTGGGACATTTTCCTAAATGCCTTGAACGATTATCATGACTGAAGTTCTTATCATTTGAAAAAGATTAGGACAACAGCTAGCAACCTAAAAGACCAATAATTGTCTATTTTGGTTATTCAAGGCCTTATTTTAACTAGTAAAAAATACATATAAGAAATGTCTCCACTAACTTATTCGATTACTATCCTAACAAACCGATTTACTGGTTCTACCTAATAATAAGTGCTCGATCTTGGTGGTTTTGACAAAACTAAAGAGTGCTTTAAAACATCATAAGTTAGGCTCTAACTTGGGATCCTCAAGGTCGATGGCGCCGGTCTATACACTCTTTGTCTTCCCTTAAACCGTGAAATTAAAATTGCTTTATATCTTTCTTTCCAACAACTAATCCTTTCTTCCTGTACTATATCCTTATACACAATCTTTCTTTTATATATTACTACTATTGAAGTAAATACTTTATGAATTTGGTGTTCATCATGTTGTGCTAATGAGGTGCGGAAACTTGGACCGATGCATATACGTGACTGGTCCTACGTTGTAGCTGACTGACTGGCTCTAGGCTAAAAGAAAAGAGAAAGACCGAATACTTTGAGCCGGGGTTTGAAGGCAAGCATCGAAAGAATGAACAGCACTTGGAAACAACAGTAAAGTACAGCTCAGATTGATTGGGATATCCTGGTAGGTGACCTACGCTCCACGAAGACTAACAGGCGTAAGTTAGTACTAAATGCAATGCCCACCGACTCTCAAAGACGTTTCTCAGGGACAAAAGATCAATTAGGTTTCCTTTGCCTATAAATAACTTGTCAGTCATCAATCCACTAGAACTAATGAAACAGTTGCAGCACCAAGTTATACGACGCTTTATTATTAGACGTGGCATTAATGCATCCTAGACTTCCTGCGATCGCCACATAAGTTGCTTAAGGACCTGTCACAAATCACCAGATTCCAGTGATCTCGCTAGTTTTAGGTCAGTTAGGGCATTAACTTCGCTACATAACCCGGATATCTATCTCCCATTTTATCTGTTGATAAGTAGCGAGTAACAGATGAGGAACCCGGGGCCAACTAACCGTTTCTCAGAGTGATTCACATACATTTCTAGTTCCATGGATCATTTTTATCAACCTCGAGAATATTTAATCAACTTTCAACACCTAACCCTCATAGGTTTAGAGAGTTATTCGCTGACATTTTTCGCCTACCTTTTTGTCCTTAATATTTTCGCCACAATAAGAAATGTGACGTTAGGAGGGTCTAAAGAGAATTATTGAAAAAGTCATATCTAACATGATACATTTCCTAGGCACTGTTTAATATGGTAAAGAAACAAGGCAACAGTTACAGTTTATTTGCAAAATACTTGAAACATTCGGGGAGAGGCAATTAACAAGTAAGCTATTACGAACGAATATGGGAGCCAATTAATTTGGAAACGTCTCTAGATCTAAAACTATGATGTGATATAAATCTCAATCTATGAATCGTCTTTTTCTCACTTAGGATGAATTGCCTGGCAAAATTTCCATTGTATGTAAATTTATAGACGTTTTCTAACGTTAATTAGTCAATCATAATCAGTGTATAGCCTTTGGAAAATATCCTTTAGCTCAAGTTGGCAAATCCCAATGGCACTATGAAATGGGATTAACAACACGAATGGTAGAGAAGTCGAAATAATGTAGTAGTAACGAAAATGAGAAGTAAATATTAGGAGTATGGTTCGAAAAAGTATGAAACTATATTCATATTGGGTGAACAAATATGAGCCACTGTTATTGATTTCGAGTCATATTATAAAACTGATTGCGGTAATCAGTCGGATCTCAAACAGTTGGACTTCAAATAAATATAGTACCTTCCCTTAAATCTTGAAAATTATTCTGTTCCAGGGAATAAAGCAACTCATCCTGATACATTTATGTTTATACTCATCCGTTTATTTATTACTAGACGTTTTGCTCTTATTTCTAACCTGTGCTTGATATTTTACTAGAATTTTTCAACATTACTGGTACCCTGAAATTTCAAATGCTTACTAGTCTTTCCTGATCATAGCTCACTGAGCTGCAAAAAAGTGGTAGCACGAGCCAATACAATCTTGTAGACGCGAATTAGTTTTCATTTTGTCACTATATATATGGGACGTTGCCGAGCCCTGCAAAAATTCGTTTGCAGGTAGAAGGAACCTGGGGAAAACTCAATTTAGACTTAGGTCGAAAAGTAATTTCTATATATTTCATAGTTAACAAACAACCTAGAAGATTGTCATTACTATTCATACTACACATTAAAGCTCTACCCGTTATTTACTGTAACTGATTTATTTAGTACAAGTTTGTTCAGCCGACTTTTAGGAATAGTGATACTACCTCGCTGCTCAAACCGAGGTAGGTAAAACGAATTTCGAGTTTACACTCAGAATGGTCAACGCTAAAGTATATAAGTGTCATGAAGTTAGCTGATGCACCAAACTATAATTTAATAGGACCACATAAGTACTCGTCAGTAAGGAATAAACTAAATTCAACCTAGTTTCCCAACGTTACTTCCGTACAAAGCTAATAAAACAAATCGGACCAATCTGTTTATAAAGCACAGGAAAAATACTTCAAGAAAAATAAATAAAACCTTACTTTTTTCAGTATCACAACTGTTGGAAGATATGTCATATTTCTTTAAATCCAACATAAACTCAAGATGTTTTTTTTCGACTTCAGTTTGAGCAAGGAGCGATTCGTTTTCCTATATTACCCATGTTATAAATATCCACAATAAAGTTACCTCCAGTTTTGTTTGTGTGTACTTTAGCTCATCTCGAAGCCAACAAGTTTCTTCAGTTAACCTTTGATTGTGCAACTGTACCTTCAACAGCTCAGCTTCCAAATGTTCGATATATTTGGCAAATGTAATCATAACCTTAATATTTTTAGAAACTACTCTATACAGAAAAAACCTCGGAGTCGTCTAATCCCTTTTCGATTTGTTTTAGTGCAGCTTGAATTATTGGAATTTTCTCTTGATTAAAGACTTTCTCACATTCTAGACTTGTGTTAAGATTTGGTGATGAATGACTGTTTTCTGAGTTACAAAATGTACTTAAGGCAGATAAAGCTTGTTCATGATCCTGTTTCAATGATTCGAGTACCAGTTGAGCTTGCTTAATACTTTGCTTGACATGAGAAGGCATACCCATCACCAAAGCAGCATGACAAACTTCAGTCTGAAAATTCATGAAGTGACGGAAAAGAATAATAATAAAATGAAAATAAAATACTCAACATTCACTTATCCCATGATATGCTTTATTCCACTGAAAATTACAGCTCTTACTCCTGAACACCTAAGTGACCTTAATTTATTAGTTTGACTCAAAGAATTATGTTTTATTAACTACTAGTCACAACATACATTTATTTGGAAATGGAAAACACATAATGCGATCGGGGCTTGCTTTCATATATATTATATCAATGCGGTTTATCCCCGTCACTCACTGGATGGACTTTATGAAGGTGTTAGGAACTAATCAAATTAGGCACTAGGTGTTTTAAGGACCAACATCTAATATTCTTGTACGCTAATACCCTATCTTCCTATCTTGGGTAAACTTTGGGGAAAAGCCCTAAAGTGTTATATGATTCTGTGGAAATATTGGGAAAACCCAAAATTTCCCCAAAACTATGGGGGTTTTCCTCAGACCTAGGGAAATTTAAAGTTTTTTGTTGTTTTCCTAAAATTTTGCTAAAGTTTTTTATAGTTGTTTCCCTTAAATTGACCCAAACCAGAAGAAATTTTCCCAAAAATAGGGAGATTTCAATCTCGAGATTGAGATCTCAATAGGTATAAACCCTTAATTTTTTACATTTGTACCCTGGTGTTATACAATGATTTTGGCTAAACACAGAATCTAATGAAGTTAGTATGTACACTTGGTAAGAATAGTTTTAGTGAAACGGATACACAATAAAAATAATCATGATTATGACATAATCATGCAGTCTAGACCGGAGTTTCTTGATGTGGGAGATGAAATCTTGAGTAACGTACCAATATAACCAAAACAATATCCTTATTTGTTATGCACAAAACTAAAAGAAACCTTAACTACACACAATAACAACAAACCAATCTCAGCAGTGACCTTAAAGATATCAGTTGGGCGCTTTCAGTCAACCAGAAATTGATGTGTGCTTCGAACATTGTCAACAAATATTGGCACTGACTATATGTCTGAATTACAGATGGTAAAAAAGTGGGCATATAAATGCGTAATTCTCCTTCATGAATCTGAAGAAACAAAATATTAGTGATAAACAGAGACAAAACGAAAACACTTGCAACAAACATCCTACATTTTCAGCTTCTGCTTGAAAAGGACAGCAGGCTTGATGTCCTGCGTAAGTCCCGTCAAAAGTAATTTCTCAATTGGTCCAACTTTCTTTTGAATGGGTCGACACATAGCTTCAACCGCACGTTAGTGTAGGTGGCCCTAATTGTTGATGGTTAAATGGGGAAGTCGTGTATCAGTAACTAACTCCCCAATATAAAAACAACGTCAAAGACTTTTTCTCAGAGCTTTTCGAACGCGAAGTTTAGTCCTAACATGACTTGCATTCCCCAAACTTTTGCTGTGTTCTTACGCAACAAAAGTACCATTTTTGATCTAAAGAATCTATTTTGAGCTATACGATTGGTAGATTACTTTTTGAGTTTCACCCAATTTAATAGTTAACTGTGGTTTTGCCTCAGCTTACTATTCGTTTTTTTTCGTTTTTTTTCACGTAAAGGCAAGTTCAGTTTATCTCACCCGTTTTTAGTGTATTTTTTTAACGGTCTTAGGCTTTTGCTAGCATCTGTAATACAGTTTGCGTAAATACAGTCATGAAAAATTCATTCAAACGACCTGGATGCCGCTTCGTTCTTACATCTGGCATGCAGTGGGACAACTGCGAAGGTTGGCTTCATGAAGCTCTATGAAGATCTCACAGCAACTGCTTACAACAGACTCAGTAAGTAGTTTTTCCGAGCGACATCATTGTCCTATTGACAGGTCAGCACACTTGGAAAAAGACAGTCATAAAAAGGATAGACAAACAAGGGCGCGCAACGAAAAAAGTATATATGTAGGGACGTTGACAGGTCTACTATCGATGGCGCATGCATTAGTACTAGTGATGACATGGTGAAACTCAGCACCATCATAACGTTGACGGTAATAGACTCCCTCAGCAAACTCAGGTATCCCAGCTCAGGATCCTTGAATGCAATAATGGTTCCCAAAAACTGTGTAAGTGATTGAACCCACGTTGGCAGAGATAAAAGTACCAGGCGTCACCGTCTAAGCTGAACATCCCAAGTATTGTACGGAAATCAACTGGTGATGTGATCGCACCGTCTACTCCTAAGAATGTCCGTCCGGTCATCAAAAACCCTAGGATTCAGAAACGTGCTTCGACCTCCAAACAACAAGATGCTGAACATAAACGCACCGGAAAACCTGGGAAAACAATAATGGTTTTTGATGACTCTAATAATTATGAACCTCAAAGACAATCCTGACCTTCCTCTCAGTTTGCAGGACAAAAATGGCGGAATGCTCTGGAAAGAATTGAATAAGAAGCTTGAACTTCCTAGAATAGAGCCTTTGACGGTCACACGGCTCGCTCAGGGAAAGGAATCTAAGCATCAAAATCACCCGGAGTTACTTCGTGTAACCCTTAAGAATGCTAACGACGTAGAGGATGTCCTGCTAGCTAGCCATTTACTGAAATCCGATGGGAACGTATGAATACTGCCCAACATACCGTATTCTGAGCGCAATCTCATCCGGAACATCCCTAAAGAATCTCGCGAGTAGTTTTCCACGGAAGAAATAATATTGTGCAAGGTGTACCGGAAAACACGGACCCTAGTCAAGCGAACTCTGATATTAGGGAATGGAGATTCATCAAGCAGTCCTTGAGGCTCAAAAAAATACTGACTCAACATGTGACGAGACTAGCAAAAAAGGACAGTGATTCTAGACCCCGGCTAATGAGGATAACTTTTCCATCCTCCCATATGGTGCTTGCAACTCTGGAAGCATTTCGTGCCAGCAGACGTCGGTTGCCAACTGGAATCCATATGCACCCGGATAGGCCACATGACGCCAGGATCAAGCACAAAGGCAAGCTGGAGCTGACCATTCCATTTGTGGACTATCTGGATCATAAAAAACGTGTAAAGGACAGGGCCTACTAACTCGGCAAATCTTATGTAGACATGCTACCTGTCCATTCATGTAAGGCTCATACAGACAAACAGGAAGAAGCTCCCGCGTTTCAAATTGAAAGCATAAACTGCATATACATGAATGCCGCGAGTCGACCAAAAAAATGGATGAGCTACGTGAACTTAGCAATGCTAATAATGCTTGTCTGATAGGAATATCTGAAACTTGGATATCTTCTCAGTTTACGGACCAGGAGCTAGCAATACCTGGGATATCTTTGTTTCGCAACGACAGAACAATAGGAATTGGGGGTGGAGTAGCCGTACACATACGATCCTGCTTGGAGGTACATCAAGTTCACAACCATGTGTAAGATCCATCCTGAGTGTTTTGTGTGTGAAAATCCCTCCATGTATTCACTCGCAGTTTGTTCCTATTGATTCCTTTAGTTGTACATTGTCAGTCTCCTTGGTTACATTTGAGTTGTTGGGCAGAACACAAACGAACTGACAACAATGCCCCGTACAGGCAATACAAACATATAAGGAACATATGCACGAAGGCTATAAGAGAAAACAGGATTCAGTATCAGATAAAGCTTATTGATAAATTTGTCTCCAATCCGAAAAGCTTATTCTATTATGCGGCCTCTCTTCGTCAAACCAAAACTGAAGTTTCACAACTGCTAGGTCTTAACGGCCCGACCAACAACGACGGCGACGCCGCTAACCTTTTGGCTGAACAATACGCTCGGACATTTCGACCGAATCCCATCAACTATACTGATAACAGCTTGATCTGCAACTGCACAGGACTTTCCGTAATCAACCTGCTCGCTGACTTAGTGTTCCGGAAATTGCAGCACCTAAGAAAAGACACTTCTCCTGGCCTCAATCCTGGCAACAGCGCTTAGAGTGATGCCCCCACACTCCCTAAGCCGAGGCAAACTACCGGAAGATTGGAAGCTAGTTCACATCAAAGCAATTTTCAAAGGAGGTTGACGCAGAGAACCTTCAAGTTACCGACTGGTGGCTCTTCTCTCTACACCTTCAAAAATCATGGAGTCCCTGATATGCGATGGTATATATGAATATTTACTGTCTTTAAATTTCTTCTCACCCCAACAGCATGGTTTAGGAAGGGTTATTCTTGTATAATCAACCTGCTCACTGCGGTGGACAGATGAGCTTGACTTTGATTACAATTCGGATGATTTCATAACTACAGTTGTTTGTCCTTATCATGAAGTCACTTCCAATGAATACTATAGCCAATGTGAGAAATATGTTTTAAATGAAGCCATGTTATTTATAACTTGTGGATTTGAAGATCCAACATTATTTCGTGGGAAAGACTGGTGTTGAAAAATCTGTAGTCCAACTTCTAGATATCAATGATTTCAGTACAAGGACGACATGCTGATCATGTACATTTCCAGGACCCAGTTGAGTCAGTTCCAACTTCAGTCGTTTATCCTAATGCTAACGAGTATATTCTAGATCACACAGAATTTGTACTCAACACAAAATCTGACAGACACATGATGAGCATAAAGTAAAGATGTTAGATCGATGACAGAAACGTAGATTACAATATAAGTTTCAACGGTTGTAATCTTTGTATTAATAAATGATTCTTTTGTACTTGGTGCCTGCCTGACTTTTAATTCCGAATGAAATACGTTTGTTTGCGCTCACCTAGTACCGTTTGGCTTAAATTGCGCTATTTCGAGGAATCATAGTTCATAAAATAGCTCAATTACTTCTAATCGTCACAGTGGTAAACAGTCGCCTGTAATCGGGTGCTTCCAAGTAGTGTAGTAAGATAACCATAGGACCCAGATTGAAATTGGAGTCCAAGGTCTATAGCGATAGTTGGGGGACAGACAAAGTTTACTACAAAATGTTGTTTTCTATTTTATGGTACGATGTGGTGTGCTTGATTGGTATATAAACAAAGTATGTTTGAAATATAATGATTCATATCTCAGAGGTTGTGACTTGTGTTCTGGACTCAACTGGCTGAGCTAGACAGGGAGGCGGGCTAATCGGAACTCTAGGTCGTTCGTACGTGTTTACGTGTCACCGAATCGATCGATAATTCGCTACCCTCTAATCTGCAGCATCACAGTCACAATAGAGCGTATAATTTCTGAGGAAATTTACATTTAACATGTAACAGCAAGAGGAAGACAACAATAGTGAACGCGCCAACAAGGAATCGAAATGGCATGTCTCGATTATTTAGGTGCGACCTTTCTTTATAATCTTCTGTCTTTTGTATCAAATGTATAACTTTCTTTCAAGCTCAAGCGTTTTGTTTAGAAATGCTAGATATCACATTGTTGATCATCATGATAGGATGGGTCAATGTAGATGATTTACTCGTAAGATCTTTTCAGTCAGCCGGTCAGGTACAACGTAGGACCAGTCACGTATATGCATCGGTCCAAGTTTCCACACCTCATTAGCACAACATGATGAACACCAAATTCATAAAGTAGTTACTTCAATAGTAGTAATATATAAAAGAAAGATTGTGTATAAGGATATAGTACAGGAAGAAAGGATTAGTTGTTGGAAAGAAAGATATAAAGCAATTTTAATTTCACGGTTTAAGGGAAGGCAAAGAATGTATAAACCTACACCATTGTGATCGATTCTGAGCCATGTCACTCAGATTCTCCAACAGTTGGTTTCGATAGTCACACGGACCCCAACCGAGTAATCTTCATCTACCATCATGGCTCAGACTAGAAGTGACTTCAAACACTGATGCCATGTCCTGGCTTTTCCGTTCCAAACTTTCTTCCATCCGCCTCCACAACTAGCCAGCACTGAACATTGTGGTAATTGGTGTTCAGGCATGCGTAACACGCGACCCAACCATCTGAGTTGACGAATATCTTTTGGAATAAGTAGTTACATCATGGCAAATCTGCA